CACACCCCCATACCTCACATCCACTCACAGACCCACAGCCACACACCCCTACTCACACCCACACTTGTACTCCTACACACCCCATGCTGTCTCACACACACATGTACATCCATACACATACACTCACCCCCCCAGACACTCCTCCACACTCACACTGTCAGGTACATTCACACAGCCACACACACCCACTCACTCATGCACCCCTACATCCACATGTGCATGTACACATCCATTTCCCACACCTGCCCACACTTAAACTCACACCCACACTCATACATCACATTCCACACACACCCATGCTCACACATGCACATGCACACACCCACACCCACTCACACTACACACACACACACACACACAGCCCTGCAGCGCGCTGGCCAGGCCTCCCCCAGTGTACGTGCCACCCCACCAGCACCATCCCTCCTCCTAATGATCCTGCTGCCCTGTGAGCTCTGGAGGAAGACCGGCGCCTCCCGCACACCATCCTCGCACTGCCGTGGAAGCAATGCCAGAAAGAACTGGACTGGGGGCTTCAGCCAGTGAAGCGGGACCGGGCAAGCAGCCTGGCTGTGGGAGGGGACGGCCAACAAGGGCAGAGAGGCAAGCCTGCCAGGGTGGCCAGAGCCGTGTGCCCTGCAGAGCTTCTGAACTGGACATACAGGTCCAGTCCCAAAAGTAGTGTCCAAGGAGCACCCCCAGAAGCCTGTGCCCTCCCGGCTGCTCAGTTAGAGCCAGACCGGGATGGCCCCGCATCACCTGCCACTCCATTCACCCTTGTCACAGCTGCCCCGGTGGGAGACAGCCTGGCTGGCCTTCAGACGCCCTGTGTCCCCTGGAGTGGGTGAGGCTCATGGAGGGCAGGCGGGAACACACGGGAACTGGCACGCAGAGGCACACCCGAAGTCCCTCCTTACCTCTCCGACCGAGTTGGACAGAGCTTGGACTATCTTCTCATGGGCTGTGGCCACCACGCTCTGCCCGTTGATCTCGATGATGCGGTGGCCAACGCGGACGCCCCCTCGCTCGGCAATGCCCCCTCTCATGAGGCTGCAAATCTAAGCAGACATGGTCAGGTCAGCACACGTGTTCCTGCCACACCTGACAGGCGCTCCACCATGTCTCCAAAGACAGGACACGCGGAGGGAAAAGCGCCACGTGATGAATACGTGCACGTGCAATTCACTGACTCAGAGGGAAAAGCGCCATGTGATGAATATTTGCACATGCAATTCACTGACTCAGAGGGAAAAGCGCCACGTGATGAATATGTGCACGTGCAATTCGTTGACTCAGACGGCACCGCTTATGATCTGGACTGTGTTTCCTTAAAACAAGAGAGTCAATGCCATGGTGTGTGGGGAACCAACACGTTTTCTAACTCCCACGGTGGAACCAGTCCACAGCCGCACCTCCCCCAGGGCCCCTCCCTTTGTGGTCAGGCTGGAGACTGGTGACATAGCCCAAGGCCACTGCCACCTGGCCTCCTGCAGCTGAGCCTGGTTACCATCCTGGAAGACAGGCACTTAGCTGGTGGGTGGGCGGGAAAGGAGAGGCAGCCTGTCCCCTGGCCACCAGAAAGGTGGGGCATCTGTTCTGTCAAGGGAAGGCTCTGTTTGCCAGATGCCCAAACGCTCTACATAGGCAGGGAAGAGTCACTTTTATTCCTATATCCGCCCCCCCAGGGTGACATAAGGGCATTTTGTGCCAAACACACTGGTTCTGTGTTTTTTGGAGACAGGGTCTCATTCTGTCACCCAGGCTGGAGTGCAGTGGCGGGAGTTTCCATTTCCAGCTTAAAAGTGACGTCAGAGGGACTGGAGGGCCTGGGAGCACCTGTGACCATGAGACTGGACAGACTGGAAAACAGGCGCCCTGCACACCCGTGTTCACGGCAGCAGCGTTCACAACAGCCGAGGGTGACAACAAGGACTAGCAGAGAAACAGAACGTGCTCTAGGCCTGCAGGGAAACAGTACTCAGCCCTGGAGAGGAAGGAGAGTCCGACGCGCACTACAGCACGGACAGACCGCAGGGACACTGCGCTGCGTGAAACAGGCCAGGCACACGGACAAACACCGCGCGATGCCACTGATATGAGGCACCTGGGGTAGTCAGAATCACAGAGGCAAAGTAGACGTGGGGGGCTGCCAGGGGTTGGGAAGGAGGAATGGGTGGAGGTGCTTAGTGGGGACAAAGTTCCCACTGGGTAGGACGAAGTCGTGCAGGAGAGCACAGTGGCCACGGCTGCCTGATACGCAGATGGACTGCCACAGAACTCCGCACTTCAAAATGGGTACAATGCTCGATTTTATGTTATGGATGTACTTTACCACAGTTATTTTTTAAATGGAAACAAAAACCAGAAAAATGGATGTCCAAGGAGAATGAAGACTAGAAGAGAAAGGGGTAGGGAGAAGCAGATTCCACACCACAGCTCCTTCGCCCCGGGGCCCTCTTATCCTGGAGAAAGGAGGCTGTGCTGAGCCGTGGCAGGAGGCGAGTGGCCTGGGATGGGAGAAGCAGACTCACCTCTCCCAAACACACCTGCATGCGCACACACGTGCAGACACAGACAACTGGGAGGGGCCTCCCCCTCCCCCCACATCAGCACCCAGATTTCTGCAGCAGGCCCAGATCTCATCTGACTGCTCGCCCTGCATGCTAAGCACTGCCACCTGCCACAGGGAATGTTTCTGAAGTCACTGGGGAGGACCGCTGCAGGTCGGGGCAGGCGCTGATAGACCCCATTTCCTAGCCAGGCATCCTCCAGCGCCTGCACGTGCTCCCCGGGTGGCTGCGCACGTGGAGGCTGAGAGGACCACCTGTCCCTGCCCACTGGCTCCTGGGATACAAGGTGCCCTGTGGCTGTCCCAGAACAGCTGGAGCCGGGACTTCAGGCGGGGGGCCTGGCAAGGACAGGAGGACACTGGTGAGAGCTTCACTGGGCATGGTGGGGATAGGGGGGCCCAGAGAGGTGACACCGAGGGAAAAGCCACACTGCTACAGGGTCGGGGGCAGCAGGAACCCAGGGTACCAGAGTCCTGAAAGTGGGGACCAGGGCCCTCGGGGCTGCGGGTCCCATCCTGAGCACGCTGTGAAGGACAAGTGGCTTAGACCAGAGCAGCCAGCACCCTCGGGTCTCCTGAATGTTATCCCAGGCTCATTGCTCCCTGGAGCCCCTGGTGCACCTCAGCCAGGCAGACGCCTGGACAAGTCCCTGGGGTGGGTGAGTCCTGGCCTGCAGGGGGACAGGTGGCAGCCACTGTGACAGCCTCTGTGTCTAGGTGCACAGAGGGCCAAACAGGGACAGCCAGCCCCTACCCTCAACCCCCACCATGGCCACGGGCACTCATGAGGCAGGTGCAAAAGGTGGGGTCCGCACTTGAGGGTCTGAGGGGCCTGGTGTTTACCGCCAGGCAGCCGAGCCACGCAGAGATGGTGACTGATCTGTAGGGCCGCCTGCATGCCATTTTCTGGATCACTGGGGAGATGGGTCATAACCAGGACAGAACCATGCCAGTTCATTCGCTTCATCCAGCCCTCCCTGGCACTCTCAGGGTGAGCTGTCCTGTATCTTGGAGAAAGCCCCTGAGAGCCAGCATTTGCCCCTCCCCTCGGCTGCCAGCCTCTCCCCTGCATCCTGAGCACTGGGGCTTCAAGGAAGTGGGACCCATTTCACAGACAGGGAGGCGGAGGCCAGAGGGTGGAACAGCAGCGCATCCACGAGCAGGGCTGGGACCTTCAGATCCTCCTCGTCCCCAGTCGTGACCCCAGACCACCCCCCAAGTTTCACAGACGCTTGGCCCCCTCCATCACTCCGGAACTCAGACCCCGGATCCAGGGCAGAGACACCAAGCAGTGGGTGGCATCCTCTCTTTCATATTGCCACCCCGGAGATTTTGTCTTCAGAATTGCATGACCCCCTCCTCATTCCAGGCCCCGCAAGTCTGCTGCTGCCCTCAGCCCTGCACCCTCTAATCTTTTGAGAAACGCCCATCCACACCACCATCCTCAGCTTCCTGGCCACTTGGACCCACCCAGCCCCATCTTCGGGAGCTCTCCAGACTCCCCGCACCTGCCCCAGAAGGCAGCTGGAGACAGCCCTGGTCTCCATGCACTGCCCTCCGCCCGGGCTTCACACTCGCCCATTGCACTCTGGCTCTCTGGGAAGGAAGGCACAGAACCCTGCACCTGGGCTTGGCTGGGCTGCTCCAACTGTCCCCTCCTTTCCCATGCACGTTAATCTAGCCCCCACAAAACACAAACCGGAGTCCTCCCTTCCTTGTCTCTTCTTCCCCTCTCCCCACCAGTGCTCCACGTGGCTGTGTGACCTGGGGCAAGTCACTAAACTTCTGTGTGCCCCAGCTGCTCCAGTTCCTGTGCTCCTCATGCGGTTATAGTTTGGGGGACACCAGCAGACTGAGGGGGCATCAAACTCATTCTGGGCAGGGCTATAGTCACAGGCCCTAAGAGTGGGCAGCCCCCAGGCCACCCTCTCCTGCAGGGCTCCCAGCGACGGGGCTGTCAGGGAGCGGCACTGGCCACCAACCCAGGCCCACCTGCCTCCTAGGCTGGGCAAGGGGTGCTGGAACAGGACAAGCAGCTCCCCAGTGCCACTCAGGAGGCAAAGACTGTGTAGTCAACAGGCTTGGCCAGGCAGGGGCAGCCCGGGGACACCACACAGCGCCCCAGGCTCTGCACAGCACAGCTCCTCGTGAGGGCTGCAGGGCTGTCAGTCCCCAGCTTCCTCCACTGTCCCCAATGCTGGGGTGGGAGGGACACAGTCAGGGCCTGGTGACGGTTGGGGTGCGGGAGCCCAGAAGGCTGTCCCAGCCCTCCTCCCTGGGGCCCAGCCATGCCCGTCCACAAAGTGCTCACGGCAGCTGCAGGCAGGGCCCCAGCTGACTTTCTGCAGAGCCTCCAAATTAGCTGGGGCAACTGCCTGTGCCCAGGCCACATGTGTGCAGAGCACTCAGGCAGAGCCGGCTCAGGCCAGACCACCACCTGGCCAGCTCCTGCGGCAGGCGCACTGTCCTGGACAGAAGCCCCAAGTGGGGTGCAGACAACTTGTCCCGGCACCTGTGCCAGGTCCAGGGGCCACAGGCCTTCCTCCTTAGCAGAGACTAGGACCAGCGGGCCCACCTTGGGTAGTTTGGGGTACGTTATGGATTTTCTCTGCTGATCTTCACAAGCACCTTTTGAGGGGAATCCAGTGAGTGTTAAGTGACTTGCCGAGGGTCACACAGCCGCGAAGGTATGGCTGACACTGGCGATGCCCTGTCCCTCTTCGTTCTGGGCGCCGGCTGGCCCCCGCTTCCCATGGGTCTGTGGCTGAGCTATCTGGCCAGTGGGCTGTGGGCAGAAATGACAAGGGCCACTTCTGCCCTGGTCCTGAAAACCTTCAAGATCTTCCGAGCTGCCTCTCTTCCTGCAGTGCCAGCCAGACACAGAGCTCCCAGTGGGGGCTGCCGAAGCCCAGCTGAGGGCAGAGCCTGGGCCCCTGAGTGGCTCTGTGGAGTGAAGCTCACCCCCACTGCCCCCACTGCAAATCAGACTGCAGCACGAATAAGCAGTCAGCTCTCAGTATATGAAGATTTGTGGAATCTTTCTTATAGGAGCAAATTTGCTCTAACACAGCAGGGTCAGAGATGGGCCCTGAGCCCAAGCCCTGTGACTCCACCCTGACGGTGGGTATACCCCTCCATGCTGCTTCACCAGAAAACAATGGAGAAGATTTGGTAGTCCTTCTAGAATGTTCTCCCACTGTCTTTCCTCTGTGGCTGTGGGTGGACACACGTCCTGCCCGTCGCCTCCACACCACTCCACCCCAGCCCGCGATGCCCCTCCTGCTACGCTCCCTCACACGCAGGGCTGGTTTAAACAATTTGGGTATTGCCAGCCCTTTTCTTCTTTATTCCATTTAGTGGCCACATCTCTCCCCTCTGGGTCTTTTGCAGAAGGGAAAACAAAGGAACGAGAATTCCGGCCAAACGCAGGTCAATGAGAGGGTGGAAACTCTGGGCTAAAGAACTTTGGCCCGGGGAACTGGCACAGGCTTTTGGCCAGAACCACACTCAAGCCCAGCATCACCTCCTCCAGGCAGCACTCCAGGCTTCCCATTGCCTGGTGCAAAGCCTAACACAGAGCAGGCACTTCACAGATGTCTGCTGAACGGCTGCGTGAACAAGTGAATGATGAGTACACGAATGGATGAACGAGCGAGCATCTGTTTGTTGAGCACAGTAAGTGATGCCACGACTGCTTGTGTCCAAGCCACAGTGCTGGCGAAGCCTGCTGCCCTCCCTCCAAAGCAGGCGACAGCCACTGTGGGGACAAGGGCACCTGGGAAAGGCTGCAGGGGCCCAATCCACGGCCATGCCCTGGCCCTCCCCTTCTACCCAAGACCTCCCAGAGAGCTGTGGAAAGGTCCTGTCCCAGGTGGCCTGGCTGTGGGCAGCTGCACCCATGGGCCAGGTCCTGCCAGGCTGCCAGGCATAGCCTGCCCCATCAGATGGGAGCTGCTCTCCCTCCCTGGGCCCTGCAGCGGTGGTGGCAGCCCAGGGCAGGAGCGGGGACTCACAATGCCATTCTGCACGCTGAAGCCCAGCTGGTACTTGAGGTCTGGCCGCTTGATGAGGACCGTGGTGACCGGGGGACAGCTGACGATGTTGAGCTTCACCTGTGTCTGGTTCTTCAGGCCCTGCAGAGCACCGGGATAGGAGTCAAAGGCTGGGCCTTAGACATCAAGCCTGACCCAGGATGGGGGAGGCTGGCAGGGGGGAGGCCGGGGGCAGTGAGAATGCACACTGGGTGAGGCTGGCAGGGCGGAGGCTGGGGGCAGTGAGAACGCGGAGGCCGGGGGCAGTGAGAATGCACACTGGGTGAGGCTGGCAGGGCGGAGGCTGGGGGCAGTGAGAACACACACTGGGTGAGGCTGGCAGGGCGGAGGCCGGGGGCAGTGAGGACGCACACTGGGTTAGGCTGGCAGGGCGGAGGCTGGGGGCAGTGAGAACGCACACTGGGTGAGGCTGGCAGGGCGGAGGCTGGGGGCAGTGAGGACGCACACTGGGTGAGGCTGGCAGGGCGGAGGCTGGGGGCAGTGAGGACGCACACTGGGTGAGGCTGGCAGTCCCCTCTCAGCCTCGGTAGCCCCTCTGTGCAGCGAGGATGAGCCTCGCCCTGGCCCTTCCCAGAGCTGCCAGGTTTCCAGGGCGGCACTGCGCCCTCTTTCCCACCATGCTCAGGGCACCTCTGCCCTGGGGAAGATGAGCCGCTGCGGGAGTGAGCCCAGGCTCTGAGTGCCACTGGGCAGAACCAATGCGCCTGGCACCAGTTCACCCTCAGGGTGTCGAGGGGGCCATCATCATGCCAAATTCAGGAGAGTTTCCTATGGAAGAATGTGGGGACACTTTCCTCAAAACCCAATGCCCTCCAAGGATGACCTCCTGCAAGGCAGGGAGTGATTACGCAGCAAATCTCTGAGTGAGGAAGCGGGTGCACCAGGCCGCTGGGGTCCGGTGGGGGTGAAGAGGCACGGGGAGGAACCCAAGCCTCCACCTGGGAGCTGCAGCCCTGGGAGTGGGGACCTCGGCTGCTGAGACCTCGCTGGCAGAGGCCTCTCCCACGTCTCTCTGTGTGGCTGCCCATTGGGCAGAAGCTCTGCCGGGCAAGCTCCGAGAGCCAGTCTATGAGATGCTCTGGCCTGGGGAATGCCCTTCATCTCTCACGCTGAACAAAGAGGAGGACGGTGTTGTCTCCAGCACTAAGACCACAGCAGGGTGGGGAGGAACATGTCACAGAGGGCTGGGGGCCAGGCTACAGCTGGGTCACAGGAGTCGCCAGCAGCAGGCAGAGCCCGCTCCTCCGCAAGTGGTCAGTGTGAAGGCCCCCACCCCACCTGCCAGTGACCCTTCTGCCTGGCCCCTGACAGCGACAGGCAGCACCTCCCAAAGCTGCAAGCTCACGAGTCTGACGGTCAGGGTGGCCTCCTTACTTAAGGGAACCTGTGTCCCAGAACTCAACCCATGCAGGGTGCCCCACCTCCCCAGCCCAAGAGCACTGAAGGGGTTTCCCGGAAGCGGGACTTTCAGTGCTAACCTGGCAAAGCCCCAGGCAAAACAGGATAAGCTGGTCACTGTATACTCACTGGTCCTTGGGCCCTTGCCCAGGGCCACATGGCTTGATACAGGGCTCAGACAACCCCTCCCCTCCCACCCCAGGGCAGCCCGGGGCCACCTCTGATTCAGACATGGGGAATGGTCTTGAGTTCAAATTTCGATGCCATCATCAACCAATCACCGGGTGAGTCTCCCTGGCCCTCAGTTTCACCGTGGGTGAAGTGTGGATTGCAGCAAAGTGGGGATCAAGTGGGGCAGGGCTGAGGCGACCCCTGGGCGGAGGGTCCCAGGGTGCCCACCTTGATGATGCCTTGGCAGGTGGCGAGCGGCAGCCCCACCAGGCTGGTGCCATTGATGGACATGATCTGGTCCCCGATGCTCAGCTTCCCTGAGCGGGCGGCCGGGCCGCCATTCATCATGTTGGCCAGGATCACCGTGGGCAGGATGGAGCCCCAGCCTGACTCCACCACCACCACACCCAGGATCTCGCCCTTGTGCTTCTCCAGCTGCAGCTGCAAAGGGATCAGCAGTGTGAGAGGGGCTGGTGGCAGGGACTGGGGCCTCTGCCAAGGACCCACAGGAGGATGAGGCTGACCCTGTCCCAGCACATTCCGCCCTGCCACGGGATCCAAGGCTGGCTCATCTCATACAGGAGAGGTCTTGGGCTAGAGGCCCTGCCCACCCCACTCTGGCTCCCATGCCTCCCTGGGGTCCACCCAGCAATCCTGGGAACCTGGAAGTACAGACCCCCATCCCCACCCATGCCCGGCATTGACTGCATCCCTACCCATGCCCAACACTGACCTTCCCACCCCAAGCAGGGCTCCAGTGTCCTGGTTCCTGCTCCTTCCACCCCACCACACCCACAGAGGCCAGAGGAAGGCTCTCAGACTCCAGCACCCATAGCCTGCCCCCGGCCTTCACTCTTGTTGGAAAAGTCCTTCTACTTTTACTCCCTCTCAAAGGTCACTGTCTCGGAAACTGCCTGGAATGTCTTCAGCAAGAAACCAGGATCACGCATTCACCCATTCAACAAGCAGCAGAGGCCATCCACTCATCCACCGCAGACAGAACAATTCAGCCCTTTAATAAACAGTCAAGGTACGGGCCATCCCCAGGGTATTTGCTCCTCTCTGCCCATGAGAACTTTCCAAAGTCCCCTGGGGGAAGCCACTGGGACCAGCTAAGGCCTCTGCTACTGGTGGTTTCTAGCCTCCCCTGCCAGAGCACCCAAGCTCCCTTTAGAGATGCCACGTGCTTTTCAGAAATATCTCCCGGGTGCTGAGCGCCGGTTGATAACAGCAGCATTAAAAGGCACATTTTCGAGGTCATTAAAGCCGACCGTAATCAGCTTCTTTGTTACAAACACCTCATTTCACACGCAAGCGCTCAGCTGGAAGGCAGGAGCGAGGGGCACATTCCGGGCCGCACTCGAGTCTGATGGAAGGCAAGGGTGTGCGTGAGGACCCCGGGAAGGCTCGCTCTGCAGGAGCTCAGGGAGCAGAAGCTGGCAAACGTGGCCTCCCTGAGGCCGGTGGGCGTGGCTTACCTCCTTGCAGTTCTCCGAGTTGGAGAAGTGGATGAGGTCGTCGTTGTACATCTCCTGGGTGTTGATGATATCGCTGTACTCCTTCTGGCTCAGGTCTTCGGGGTTGATGCCATTGGCTCGCAGGAACTCCTGGTAGGCCACGCTGAAGGCCTGGCCGATGGACTGGGCGATGAGCTGGGCCTGCGCAGAGGGCAGGCCTGCTGGAGACAGGCATGCGGCACAGGCTCCCCGCGGCCTCCTCAACAGGGGCTGCGGCAGGGCTGGGTGCAGGATGCACCCGTAAGCCTTCAAGGGGGCCCTTGTTCCAGCTTAGAAGAACAAGAAAGAAACTGGGGGCCCTCCCTCATCTGGTGAAGGCTGTCTCCCACCAGCACCCCACCGTGAATGAACCCCAGTGTTGCCCTGAACCCTGAAGGGTCTGCTCCTGACTGTCCCTGCCTAAGCTGTGGCATGGCCCAGATGCTCCAGGTCAAAGCTGTTTCAAACAAAGTCTAGGACAACAATGAATTATTGATTACCTGTCATATTTTTGCTTTTTTTTCTTTTGAGATGAGGTCTGGCTCTGTTGCCCAGACTGGAGTGGGAATGCAGGTGAGCACAACCACATCCAGCTAATTAAAAACTGTTTCTTGTAGAGATGGGGGTCTTGCCATATTGCCCAGGCTGGTCTCAAACTCCTGGACACAAATGATCCTCCTGCCTTGGCCTCTCAAAGTGCTGGCATCAGGTGTGAGCCACTGCACCCGGCCCCATCTGTATTTCCTTTCCACTCATGACGAAAATGGACTTTCAGTGTGTTTTCTGGGAGCATCATGCTGCTAGTTGTCTACCCTGCATGTATTTATTGGTAGCAACAGAACCCAGTGCCCACTAGGGACATGTGGCTGTGCCAGGCCGGGCTTGCAAGACATGAGACCTGGGACTCCACACAGCCCCTACGGAGCACGTGGCTTCTTTCTACTTCCACTGAGCTGCTTCAATGGAGATCACCCACTCTGACATGGCAGAGGCCTGGACATCGAAACAGCACTCAGGGCCTGGCCGGTCGCCTGCTGGGGCACAGACAGTTGACAGTGGGAGGTGAGAGCTGTACTGAGTTCCCGGAGGTCACCAAGCAGGCTGGCAGCTGTGCAGCCGTGGGAGCGTGGTGGGGCTCTTGGTGACCTCGACGACGTCTCAGCCCACAGCGGGCCGCCCGCCAGGCTCTGGGCTGTGTGAGCCCCTCCTCATGCTCTGTCCTGCTCCTCACCTGCCTCCCCAGCTGCCCTCAAGGGGGTTCTGCACGGGCGCCCCCAGCAAATTCCTACTCAACAGGATCCCAAAACAGGTGAAAACAAGGGCTTTGGCCTCAATTCCCTTCCCACTCTCCACGTGGCAGGATGTAAGAGCAGCAGATGAATGTATGCATTGGGAAAGGCAAGCTGGGCCGGATTAGAAGCGCGCAGCAGGCGACCTTCCCTCCAGCAGGCGTGGAACTGCCCTCCCTGACGGGCCCTAAGCGGTTTCTAGGACTTGCCGGTTCCCACGCCCAGGGTCTCTGCCGCTGCCAGACCCGGCTGGGGGCGCGACGCCCGGGGACCACCAGATGGCGCCGCCGGGCTGGCCTGCGGAGTTGGCGAGCTGATGGGGCTCGGCGGGAGGTCGGGGGCAGCGCCCGCGCAGGAGAGGGTCGGGCCTCCGGGAGAAGTGGAGGGCGGCCGGGGGGTCCTGCCCCACCCACCCGGGATCTCAGGGTTCTGGGGCGCAGGGCGGCCCCCAGCCTCTGCTTCTGTCTCCGCCTGATGCTGCCACCTGGCTGGGAAGGGCGGCCTGAGAGCACGGGAGCTCCGGAAGCCCAGCTCCACCACCCACGGCCCTTGGACTCCACTTGGTCTCCCTCGGGCCACCCCCATTCTTCCTCCCCTTGGACGACATCCTCCGCCCCCGCGGAAGCTCCAAGCCCAGGAGCCGGCTCCGCGGGGCTGCGCCTCCTCCAGGCGTCATCAGGCCCGCTGGTGTGCAGCCAGCCGCCGCCTCCATTCCGGGTCCCGGCTGCCTCCTGGGAGGTGTGGGGTTCAGGGGGCTCGCTCTGCGGCTGGCGCTTCAGAGAAGGGGTCGCCCTGCCAGCCCCAGCTCGCAGCCAAGCCTGTGGGAGTTCACTGCTGTGAGGCCAGGAGTCCAGCCCAGGCCCCACCCAAGGGCTCAAGCGGCCTCCTGCAGGTAGGCAGTGGGCAGAGCCTGCAGGCGCTGGAGAGGTGGGGACGGGGAGGCTGCTGTGCGGGCAGGACCACCCTGGGCCTCATCTACCCAATACGGCATCCCCTGGCTTTAACCCTCCGCATAGGCTGCACCTGGGGGGCTCTCAGTGTCCCTCGGAAACTCTCACCAACTGACTGCCACCCTTCGCCACCGGGCCTGCCCCTGGCCTCATTCCACCAGCACCTGTGGCCCACGCCCGTGCCAGGTCTCTCAGACATCCTCAGCCCTCAGTCACACAGAAATGCCCATCCAGGTTTCGGGGGGTCTCCATGTAGCAGTGGAAGGAATGTGTGAGTGCGCTGTTGAAATGCCCTCTCCCCCCTGTAAATCTGCCATTGCGCTGAAGCATTTCAAGTGGACCCAGCTTCTTAGGAAGCAGATGACTGCGCCAGCCACAGGTTTGAACCCTGTCTTCAGTTCCCATGCCGTATGTCAGGATCATGACAATATGGGGACCCTTCCCTATTGCCCAGGTCCTGAGACACCCTCAAGTCCTTATGTGAAAAAGAATGCCCTGGCCAACTGCCCATGAAGGATAGATGATTTTTTTTTTTTTTTTTGAGACAGAGTTTCACTCTTGTCGCCCAGGTTGGAGTGCAATGGTGCGATCTTAGCTCACGGCAGCCTCCGCCTCCCGGGTTCAAGCAATTCTCTGGCCTCAGCCTCCCAAGTGGGATTACAGGCACGCGCCACCATGCTTGGCTAATTTTTTGTATATTTAGTAGAGACGGGGTTTCACAATGTTGGCCAGGTTGGTTTTTGAACTCCTGACCTCAGGTGATCCACCCACCTCGGCCTCCCAAAAGTGTTGGGATTACAGGCATGATGAGCTACAGTGCCCAGCCATAGATCATTTCTTAAAACTTCACTCTGGCAACAGCCACAAAATTGGCTCACCAGCAGCCCCGCTGCTGGTCTGTGAGTAAGATTAGCCTCCAGGAAGGACAGTTCCTCTCTGAGTTCCCCTCTTGGCCCTGCTGCTCCTTCCTCAGTCCCTCTGTCCCCCTCCAGGCTAAAAACAATGCTCTTCTCCAGCCCAAGAAGGGAGCCAAAGGCCTTGTGATCTTTTCCTGAGTCTTTGGTATCTTACACTTCAGAATCACTTTGTACTTGCTCGGAAGACATACCACACGCAAAGGCAGAACTAAGCCTCGTGCAGATGTGCCTTCTTTATACAGCATGCCAGGGCCGTGCGAAAATTTGCATTTTAATAACAAAAGTTACGCAAAGATTAACTTCATTTTGAGTAGAGAAAATGTTTTGTAAAGGGATTTCTTCAAACAGCTCCCTCATATATTTAACCATGGCTCAATTTATAACAGCTCCTGAAGAACCTGTTTCAAGAAGTAGAATAAGACTGTGTTCACTATCTTTGCAAACCCAAAGAGTATGCAAAAGATCACTCATCCACTGGAAACGTCAATAACGGCACAGAGGGTTTCCACCTGAGGGTGGTGTCCACAGTGCCTGGATTCTGGAGCCGCCCTGGGCTGTGAACCTTGGGAGGGGAGTGTCCTGGCAAGAGTTTACTTACATCCTCTGATTCGAACACATGGCAGATCATCTTATACTGCTTCTTGCCTTCCTGGGCCCCGGGTGTGGTCTCGATGCAGTCCTGAGAGGCTGACCGGGGCATGCGGCGTCTGGCCATCAGCACCACAATGTTCCCAATGTCGGCGATGTAGGAGATGGTACGCAAGGCGTGGTCCATCATGGTTTCCTGTCGGGAGGGAGACAGCGCCACGTCAGGAAACACTACTGGGACAAGCCATTAAAAAGCACAACAGGGCCAGGTGCAGTGGCTCAAGCCTGTAATCCTAGCACTTTGGGAGGCCAAGGCAGGTGGATCACCTGAGGTCAGGAGGTCAAGACCAGCCTGGCCAACATGGTGAAACTCTGTCTCTACTTAAAAAAAAAAAAAAAAAAAAAAATAGTTGGGCGTGGTGGCAGGTGCCTGTAATCCCAGATACTCGGGAGGCTGAGGCAGGAGAATCGCTTGAACCCGGAAGGCAGAGGATGCATCGAGCCGAGATCGCGCCACTGCACTCCAGTCTGGGCAACAAGAGCAAAATTCCATCTCAAAAAAAAAAAAAAAAAAAGCACTCCAATTATTCGGGTTTTGCAACCCTGATTCTCCTGACATTTGGGGCCGGACCATTCTTTATTGTGGAAGGCTGTCACGTGCACTGCAAGGTGTTAGAAGCATTCCAAGCCTCTACCCAGGAGATGCCAGTAGCACCTCCCCCTTCCCAAGTATGAGAACATAATTGATTTCCAGCCATTGCTAAATGTCCCCTGGGGAACAAAAATCACGCTGGTTGAGAACCATGGCCCTAGTTAACAGAGCGTTTTAGGGTACTGGTTCACAGTCAGTCACTCTGCCCGCATCTCAGTCCCAGTTTCCCAAATGGACTGTGTGGAACCCAGGGAGGCGTGATGTCAGGTGAGCTCTCGGGCTGTCTCTGCTGGAGCAGGGGCTTGCCATATAGTGAAACCCATTTGCTCCCAGATGAGAAGCCACTCATGGCTCTGGAGGAGGGTCCCTCCTGAACAAGGTGCTCCCCCATATGGGCCCAGGAGTGGCCTGGCCTGGCCTGGCCTTCCTGCCGTGCAGAAGAGGAAAGCATCAAGGCCACTGTTTGTCACTCAATGAGCTCTTCCCAGGGAGCCCAAACAGCCTGGGCCTGGGTCAGGAGACACCAAAGTAGCCCACCTGACTTGAATTCCCTCGGCCTCTGGCAGGCCCATGACTCTTGATGGCTTTTGTCCTTGGACAGGAATCTCCAGCCAGCATCTTGCCCACAACCCCTACCTAACAAGACTGCACACAAAGCTCAGAAAAATTAATCCACTGTTCTTTTATGCTTTTGTCCTCTGTTCACAAAAGAAACTTGAGTGTTTCTGCAATCTCTGGACCTCATTTCTTCCTCACAGAATCCACTTTGCAGCGGATGCTGCTTCACCTTTGTCTCTACAGCTGACGTTTTTTCTGGCCAAAGCCATGAGGGTGTTTCATAACCACAAGAGTCACCTTCCCTCCTCCTCCTCCTCCTCCTCACAGACAGAGGCTGCCGACCAACATGGCCGCATCTGCTCTCCTGCCCTGACTGGCTACTTTGGCCTTCCCAGTCCCTCTTACCTGTTCCCTCCTCTCCAGCTCCTCTGCCTCAACAGATTTAATGTGCATGCCCTGTTCAGAATCCAAAGATTCAGAGGGGAAAGGAAGGGAAGGCAGAAGAGGCCAGTGGAGGGAGCCCTAAACTGGGCCAAGCTAGGGGGTTTCTCATCTCTCCTTTACAGGATCCATCAGAAGTTACTCTTTCAGCTGGGGCTGTGGGTATGAGGAGGCTCAGAGATGTTCAGGAACTTGTTTAAGGCTATACAGCTCTAGAGCATGCAGCCCAGCTTCAATCCCTGGCCCATCCTCCCACTCTGGGTGTGGCACCGCCCTCCATGCACACTGGCAAGGGTGTGGCACCACCCTCCAGGCACACTGGCAAGGGTGTGGCACCACCCTCCATGCACACTGGCAAGGGTGTGGCACCACCCTCCAGGCACACTGGCAAGAAGAGTTATCAGGGCAGGCCTAGCTGCTGTCCCCAGAAAGGCCCGCCTGCAAGGCTGGCCCTCTCTGGCATCTGGGAACGTGGATCTCAGGAGGGGTCCCAGCACCCGCACTGACAAACATGGTTCCTCTTGCCTAAACCCTTTGTGCAAACAACGTGGTCTAGGCTGGACACCTCTTTTCCCCCTGGGAGTCTGGAATTTTGGTAGCTGCCAGGCAGAGGGTGCCTATGTGACCAGCTCCCAGTAAACACCTTGGGCTGAGTGTCTGGGAGCTTCCCTGGTAGACACCACTTCACTCTCTTGTCACAGCCCCTTGCCAGGGGGTTCAGTGTGTCCTGTGTGACTGCGGGGAGGGCTCTGGAAGCCCGCACCCACTTTGCCGATTCCGCTCTGGAGCTGTCTGCTGAAATCAATCTCAGCTGTGAGTGTGTGGAGTCCTGTCAGTCCTCCGAAACCATCCAGCCTGGAGTGGTCTTGGGGCCCCCCAGCACAGGTGGGTGATGAGGCGTGGGGCTTGGAGGGTGGGAGGGGGATCTAGTCCAGATGGTCTGCCCACAAAAGATCCGAAAATGAAGTCCAAGGCTGTGAAGTGCTGCACGCCCAGTGCCTGAGCCCTGGCACCTGTCTCCCTGAGTTTTCACCCAGTGCCAGGCTCCAGGAGGGGGCTGGTTCCAGGATAGGGGGGTGCAGGACACAAAGATCAGTGGGACAGGGCGCAAGCCTGGACACGGGACACACATGTGACAAGGAAGGGCACCACCATGCCCGCATCTGGGTGTGCGAGGGCCTGGAGGGTGGTTGGGGCACGGCGCTGGGGTTGGGAGTGGCGGGCTGCAGTGTGAGCCACACGGTGGGGGCTGCTGCCTCCTCTGTCTCCAAAGGTCAGGCTCCCCGGGACTGCGGAGCAGGGGAAGACCCAGCAGGTCTTCCCACCCACCTCCCGCCTGCAGAGCCCTGGGGTGACGCCAGCACAACTGCTACCTGCTGTGCCCTCCTTGCTCCTCCTGCAGCCTGAGCTATGGGCTTTGGGTTGATGGGAGCAGAGGGCACAGGAGAGAAGCTGCTGAGAACCAGGGCCTATATCATGGGACAAGAAGGAGTTGAACTTAGGAGTTTACCTGATTTTGAACAACTGCCTTTAATGCTTACCTGCGTGTCTGCATTTAAAACCTTGATCCTCTGGGTGGAAATGAAGAGGTCCACTTCCGTCAGTGTCTGGGCATCCCCCTCAGAATTCTAAGAAAAGACAGTGGATACTGTTAAAATCTAAAAACCAACTCGGAATAGAGGACATGCAAATAGCATTATGACGAAATGCTCAACATCCCTAATCACCAGATAAATCCAAATTAAAACCACAACAATATATCATTTGATATCCGTCGGAATGGCTTTTATCAAAAAGATAAAAAGCAGCCTTGGCGTGGGGTGGAGGAAAGGGAACCCTGGTACACTGTGGGAGGGTGTGAATTAGTGCAGCTGCTGTGGAGAATAGTATGGCAGTTCCTCAAAAACTTCAAGCTACAACCACCCTGTGATCCAGCAATCCCACTGCTGGGCATATTTCCAAAGGAAGTGCAATCAGCATGTCTGGGAGACACCTGCACTCCCATGCTCACGGCAGCACCATCCACAGCAGCCAAGACATGGGATCAACCCAATGTCTATTCACGAGGAATGGATAAAGAAATGTGGCGGGCAGACACGCTGGAGGCCTACTCAGCCTTCGCAAAGAAGAAGCCGTGTCATTTCCAACACATGGATGACCCCAGAGGACACGCTGTGTAGTGAAATCAGCCAGGCACAGAAAGATACATACTGCACGATCTCACTCAGGTGGAATCTACAAATGTCGATCTCACAGTAGAAGCAGAGAGCGGCATGGTGGTTACCAGGGGCTGGGCAAAAGGAGTGAAGGGGGAAGTATTGGTCCACGGACACAGAGCTCCTGCTAGACAGGAGAAATGAGTTCCAGAGATCTATTGTGCATCGTGGTGACTACTGTTAAGAATATTTCATTTTCTTAAAAATTGCTAAGATAATGAATGTAGTGTTCTCATTACAAAAATTATAACTATGTGATGTAATGCACATGTGAATTAGCTAGATGTAGTCATTTCACAATGTGTATATACTCCAAAATATTATGTTGTACATAGTAAATACAATTTTATCTGTCAATGTAAAAAGTAATAACTGGAAGGAAGGCTCAGCAATTTTATCCCGAGTCTACGTAGAAGGAAATGCTACTGGCCATCAGGAATCTGCCTGCACGCCACCGGCCGGGTCATCTAGCTAAGTGTGAGTTCTTGAGGCAGTCTGTAAGAGGCAACCAGGAGGGAGGAGGGTCGGCCGCCGGAGCTTGACCGAGATGGGGTGGGATGCCTGGGTCTGTCGCCACAGCCCCTCCTGTCAGTGGCAAGCACAGCCCCTCTGGCCAACCCCTGTGGAATTTATAGACTCAGGCTACATTTCCTGGATTTGGGATTCTAAGTATCCTTAAGAAATGGGGAAGACATTTTCAGAGGAGCTGAATGAAAATGTCAGCCTTTCCTTCTGATTTAAACAGTCACCATCATGTCCACCCCACAGCAGCCTTGGGGGACTGAGCCCTGGGGCTGGCCTGAGTGCTGTCCTCACAACGACACAGAGAAGCCAAGAGACGTGCCCCACAAATGGCCTCATTCATCACCTGTAGCCACTGTAGCATGCCTGCCATATGGCTGTGAGACAGGTTTCATGGGCTCTTCTGAGCTGAGTGAACTCTTCAGGGTCTGCCCCAAACTAGGAGAGCCTTTCACTGATTTTTACATTTGTAAGAATCCTAATTACCACTGCACAGTGGCAATGAATTTCAAGTTCTATTAGTTGGCCCACCGAGGTGAATAATTCTCCATGGTCACTGGGGAGCCCAGGGTGGTCTATCTTCCATTTCAAAACGGCAAAACTTATGATTTAATTATTCACCAGAAAATCTGAAATAAGAAATCTCCCTGCTGACAATTCCTCAAGAATTCTGAGTCGTAAGAGAGGCCCGGTATTGTAATAATAAAAGTGTATTTTAGCTCACTTTTCAAGGGAAAGGGTCTTTTGGGCTTTCTTTGCTTTTAACTCATTAGAAAGAGAAAGGAGTTGAAAGAAGTGCAGCTGACAATCTGCAGCCGTGGAGGAACTTTTTCTGTTTTTAAAAATTTGGTTACATTCAGCATCAGCATGCATTTAAAGGTTATATTCATGGATTGTGGCTCAAAATCCTCTTGCTAAAAAGTAGGTCAAGCCAGAAGTAAGTGAGAAAATTTGCAGGTGGACCTTGGCATTAGTGACAATTGTGGAGGAAACCTGAGGCTGGGATCCCTGGATGGGAGAAGAGGGGCAGCCTGAAGCCACCCAGGCTCGAGCGGAAAACCCATCAGTAACAGGGCAGGGAGAGGACACCCGTCATCCTCCTTGGCGGAAGAAGGGAGGGTGTCAACAGTACGGATCCTACAGACACCAGAGAACAGGCCACAGGGTGGGCCTCGGCACATCTGTGGATGGGGGGCATGACCTGCAGTCATCCGCACGGCTGTGGCCGGGCCAGGAAAGGGGCCTTCAACAATGACACTGAGCATCCCACTTTCCAAAAAGGAAGAACAAACCGTAATTCAATGTAGTCAGGCGGCCACCTGGCTGGCCGCAGAGGGCTTTCTGAGCTGGGTCTGCCTGTACCAACCCCTCCAGAGGCGGCAGTGACTCTGTAGGACTGCTGGACCTGCAAGTCCCAGAAGCCGGCTGCAGTCCGTACGGACTCCCTGCTCCAGCTGGACCAGGAGGCTGCAAGCGAGGGCCCCTCTTTTTTGGGAAAAGCACACCCCAACTGCAAGTCTGCAATGTTTGGCACGTTCTGCCTTGCTCAGAGGAAATCAGCCTGGGAAGAGGAGCATGAGCGCCATCGTTCCCTTGCTCCTGAGCAGAATCAAAGGAGACGCCACTGGGCAAGAAGTAGACATCCTAGGTGGACCAAAGTAGACGTCCTAGGTGGACCAAAGCCTCACTGCAGAAGAGGGAGTCCCCATGTGGGGTCTTCTGGTCACAGCGCCAGACAATGGCATTACTTCAAAGCAGGGAGGGGGAACTAAATCTCCTGCTGTTTAAACAGAAGAAAACAGTGGGCAACAAGCCTTGTGACACCAACTATTTTGGTATTTTCTGTATGAGGCGGATTGGAAACGCTCTAGCATTTACTAAATGACCAGGTGACAAACAAATGACTCAATGTCAACCCATTTTTAAAAGTCTGCCAGTGTTTCAACACTTATTTTCGTGTTTTTCTTTCTTTTTTTTTCTTTAAAAGATAGGGTCTCACTCTGTCGCCCAGGCTGGAGTGCAGTGGTGCAAACACAGATCACTGCAGCCTCGACCTCCCAGGCTCAAGTGATCCTCCTACTTCAGCCTCCCAGGCAGCTGGGACTTCAGGCATGTGCCACCATGCCTGGCTAATTAAAAAAAAAAAAAATTGTGGAGACAGGGGTCTCACTGTGTTGCCCAGGCCAGTCTCAAACTCCTAGGCTCAAATGATCCTCCTGCCTCTGTCTCCCAAAGTGCTGGGATTACAGGTGTGAGCCACTGCACCCAGCCCAAAAACTCATTTCCAATACAGAAAGCCCCACACGGGCAAAGTGTACTACTCACCCTCCTGACTTAGTAAATTAAGCGCAAGGAATCTTTAGCTATCAGAACAATTCAGTGATACTGCACAGGAGGCCCAGGCCCCAGCCCCACCACGCTGCCATATCAACTGAATGTCATATCAATTTAAAATGTCCACGTAAAACAGGAACATCGGAGATGCTAAGAAAGAGGAACTAATAAATCCTTCCAAAATGGGTGGTTAAAAAACTGAAGTGTCTGTGGTTTCATTTACAAACATCTAAGATTCACCCACCAAGGGACGAGGAAAAGTTGTTTTGCAACATCATTTGGATCCCCAGGGCAACCCCCCCGGCCCCCACCGCCCAGGACAAGCCATGGGAACACAAGCAAACACTGTCCCAGGGCCTCAAGGCCCTACACACCGCTTTTTTCTTGATCTTAGCAGCCTTCTGCATCCTCTGAGAGCATGGAAGAGAAAATAAAAACAGGTTGGCACGGAGAGAAGGAAGGTGTGTGAGGTTATGCCACTCTGGTGGTTGACGCCCCCATACTCAGGCCTGGTGCCTGGCGAAGCCCAGCAGGGACGGGTGGACAGCCACTGCCCACTTCAAGCACACACATTGACCAAGAGAAGCCCACACAGGTGTCCTTGGAGTGCTAAAAATGACTGCCAACCACCCCATCTACGGAGGACAGGAAAGATGCCATCTGCCGGCAGGAAGGCAAGCTGAGCTCCAGGCAGCGGAGCAAGGCAAGTGTCTGGGGTGGGAGGGCCGGGCCTCTGCTGAGGGGCACTGGCCAGCAGGGCTCAGCACTGCCCTGGGTTACCTGGCTTCCTCCTGCCCACCCCAGATGGCCTCATGGTGCTCCTCTGCTTCTGTTAGAGAAGGTTGTATATGGTGAGGGCTGGGGAGGAGGCTGTCCCCATGTCTCACCCCTGGGCTGGTGGGCATCTGCAGATCTTGTCTTGCTCAGAGAGCTGAGACCTCAGATGGCTGCGCCCCCTTCCCCCGACCCCATTTAGTTTTGCTGATGTGGTCTCATCTTCCCCTTGCCCGGGATCACCCAATGTTAAAAACCAGACAATCCAAAGAGCACTCAGAGCTACAAGCAGGTCAAAGTTTTTCTTGAGGTTCTGAATTTAAATAAAACGTGATATATTTTCCCCCCTTTCTGGAAGCACTCCGAATGGCACTAAAAATACACGTACTGTGGAACTGGGATTTGGGACTGTTTTAGGACTAGAATGCTTTGGAACGATGATCTTCAAAGGTCGTATTTCTGGGATTCCGTGGGCCTCCTGTTAAGGAGCTGGTTGCCTCTGCCCAGCCAGCTTCTTCCTGGCCAAGACGCGAGCCTCCCTCAGCCTCGTCGGCACCTGGGCCACTCCTGCTCCCTGTGCCGAGGGCTGTGCAGTCAGAGCTGGAAGAGGGCCTAAGCCCCGCCACATTCCCTCCCGCCAGTGCCCCCCAAAGTGTGTGGGCATCCCTGAGGGGTCCTGGAAGCACCTCTACCTTGACCCGGCTGACGGCCTCCTGCGCTTGCATCATTCTGATGTTTTTGGAAGGGTTCCGTTCTGACAGCAGCTGGGTGGACCCCAGGTAATTGGCAGCAAAGATGATCCCATCGATGAGGTCTTCTGGTTCACAGGGTCCTGGAACTGAAGGAGGGCACAGAGTCAGAGTCTTCCTAGAGGAGAAGTCCCCTGAACAAAGGGCTTGCATGCCTGGCCACAGCACAAGGAACACGGCAGCCAGGATGCAAAACAGAAGGGCCCAACCATCGCGATCTGCAGCCAGCCACGGGCGGCCGGTCTCTTCCCTCCCTGGCCCGTGCGGCAAGTAACCGCACAAAATCAACGCGTGGGCCAGAAAACTCTGCACAAACGGTGTCAGGAGGACAACGCCAGGATTCCAGATGACTGTCACTCAAGGTGACAATCACAGGCTGCAAATCCAGAAGGTGTCACATCCCAAACACGACAGCACTTTCCATGCTTTGCCCACAGCCCCGGAACTCATGCTGGTGACCTGACTGTGCCCTGGGCTTCTCCTTGGCCGGTCCCTGTGCATCTGTCCCACGAGGCTCCTGCCTGTCTGTAGCCTCTCAGGACGCCCGTGTAGCTCCTCACACCCATCACACCGCAGGCCCAGGCTTGGCAACATCATGCTTGTTCCATCTGCTGCCCCTAGACCATCGTGGCCCAACAAACCTTCCCGCCAGCCACAATGGAAGGTTCTATCTCTGCAGTGCCCAAACCCAGGAGCCACTACCCACATGAGGCTTTGAGCATTGGCACTGTGGCTCCTGCAGCTGACGGACCGGACCGTTTTCTTGTATGTAATTTTAATTAATTGAAATATAAAGAGCCACATGTTACAGCCATATCCAGCCAACCCCCAAGTCCTGTCCACGTTGCCCACAAACCAATCTTGAGTGGCTCCTATGCCAGACAGTAGGGCTCCAGCTAGGGGTGGACAAACCTCTCCTGTAAAGGGCGAGACGGTATGTGTTTTAGGCTTTGTGGTCTCCGTTGCAACCACTCACCATTGTACCTGAGGTGCAAAGGCAGCCGGAGACAATATATAACAGAGGAGGTGTGGCTGTGTGCCAAGAGAATTTTATATGCAAAATCAGGGGGACAGGAGGATTTGCCACTGGGGCTGCAGTCAGCCGACCTCTGAGCTATCCTAGACCATGGCTGGGTTGTCCTCTCAGACCCATTTTGGCCACGTCACCTGCCTTATCCCTCCTGACTGCCCACCTCCTGGCCAGAGCCCTTTTCGTCAGGGATTTTGACCCTGGCTTCCTGGCTCCCCTCCTGCTCCAGCTGGCCCCACCCTGAGTCCCTCCAGCATTATGGGCCCAGCCATCCTGCGCTTCCCCCAGCCCTCGCTGCCAGCAGCCTCCTAACCTCTTCCCTCCCTCAGCCAGCTGATCCCTGGTCTCACCTCTAACCCATTCCGTTGTTAAAATCATCGACTGGCCCAGTTTGGGTGCCGCCATCCACCACCTCAACAACATCTGCCCAGTATCCGCAGCTCCCTGACCCCAGTCCTGTGTATCTGCCCCCAGTCCTGTGTATCTGCCCCCAGGAGTTCAGCAAATCTCCAACCTGTTTTCTCTGGACCTGAGGCTGGAAAAAGCTGCCCAAGAGGGCAAATGAGTGCTATGGTAAATGTATTGCAAATTCCTGACCCCAAATGCCCCCAAACACCCTCACAACTCTCATCTGTCTCTCTGGGAAGCTCAGCCTCTTCTTCCATGCAAGAGCTAGTCCAGACTCCTCCACTGCCTCAAACTCCCGGCTGCCCCTCCCTCGCCTGCTCAGACAGACCAGGTGGGGAGCTTTGCCTCGGTGCTCAGCCCACTTGGCCCTGCTTTCCTGGGCAGTAGTGGGTCTGCGTGCCCCTGGGGTCAGAGGATCACCTGTGTTCCCAGCTGTGTCTCCTCACAGGACCGCTCTATCCCTCCCCTGTGCACCTGAGTCCTGTCAATGGCGTCCTCCCACGGCTTTTAAATATCCTCCAGTCACCCCTTGCTCTGGAGCTGATAAATCTCCTTCCAGCTGGGCAGGGTTGCAGGCACCAATGTGGGGGACTGCAGGATTCAGGGGTGACACCAGGGGAGGAACCCCTGCCCACCTGTCCTTCAGAGGTTCACTGGGGCCTGTCACCAGGGGAATCAGAGGCAGCCCCACAGAGGGAACAGGATCCAGCTATCCCAATGCAGCACCCCCACCCTACCCTGAGGCTTCTTCAGAGTGAAGGATGCACGTCTGCCTGGCTGGGGGGCTTCGACAGCATGTATGACAGCCTTGGCTGCCACAGGCTCGCCAGACATCCCCTGTGCTCCCTTTTATGGCATCCGGCTGTGGGGCTGGGAAGGCTCCCGGCGCCTGCGGTAGGCCCGTTTCTACTACCTCACACCACCTTGCCATCCCCAGTGAGCATGGCTCAACAGGCACCCCCCAGTGAAGCCCCAGCCTCCCAGCGGCGCCCAATGCAGTGGCTCTCACTGACCACAAGATGGCGTCACTTTGTTCTGCAGGAAAGCGCTGGTTCTTCCAGGCGCCCCAGGTACCCCAGCCTCACAGCCCCAGCAGGTGACCAGGGCCTTGGGCAAGTGTCCGTATGTCCTCTGTGGCGGGGGCTGCCTGGCACCCTGTTGGCCCCAGACCCTGGGGAGGCTGGGAGGCCAGCCTTCCCTTTGGAATCTGACTCCTACCTTCCCAGGCACTGCCCCCTGGCTTCTCCCTCGCCAGCCCCCAGGGTGGCCCTGGTCAGCGCACCAGACCCTTCCAAGGTTCACATTTCCGTGTTGACCCATGTCCTCGAGTAGATTTAGGAAAGACTGGCCTCATCTCCCCCTGAAGTCACCAGCTCTGGGGCCCATCTGGGCACAGGCTCCTGAGGGTGAAGGGTACCCCATCCCAGGCAGGGGGTCACCGCTGGCACCCAGGATGCCTGCTTCCAGGACGAGGCCAGTGAAGCAGTCAAGGGCCTTGCTGCAACTCCAGCCACCACCCACCTCTGCGGGGGGCGCCTTCCACGCCTGCCTCGCTCTTCTGTTCAGTGGGAAACAGTCGAGCCCACAGTGGCCCGAGTCTCCTGCCTCCCACTCACGTGCATCATGGGAGGAGAACCCAGACCCAGAGAAGAGTCCAATGGGGGCGGCACGGTGCAGGGCGTATACCACATTCACAGGCACGGCTCTCGACATCCGCAGGAAACGCAGAACCCAAATCCAACAGCTTCACTAGAAAATGAAAGCAGCTAGCCCCACATGTCTGGGTAGAAATTGCTGTGATTTTGCTCAAGTCTTGCACTGACCCTAAGCTGAGACCACCAGAGGGAGACAAAATGACAAGAAAATAAAGATACAGGTTTAAAGATCTTGTCTCCCCAGAGAGTGATTTCTCCTTTTCACACTGTATATCTCACTCACATAGGCGTATGCACAGTGTATCTGCACAGTCTGGAGAAGAATAAGGTGCTCCAGGTTCTCCCCTGCCAGAAGAAGCCTCTGTTTGAAACACCACTTAGGAAAACCCTAGGCCCTCTGGACAGGGAAGGGGATGGGAGTTCCACAGCTTCAAGCCTGAGGGTCTCCACTCCTGCCACCTTTGGAGAAAATTACCCTGAACATGGGTGGTGGACAGAGGCTTCTAAGGCACCAGTGTGGCCCCAGGGGGTCTCATTAGCTCCAACACTTGTCCCCGCATCTCCTGGGGGTCTGGGAGGGGATGGCTGAGTGGAGCTGGATCACAGGTGTACGTGGGAGTGTTAGGGGTGCATCCACAAGGCTCGCTGCTCTCTGCAAAGGCAGGGAGTCTTGGAGTGCAGCCCTCACGTCCAACACACCAGCTGTCTCTTATACACATCTAGATGTGTATAAGAGACAGGTTCCACCCAGTCCTCAACCACCCCAAGATCTCTGTGCAACAATGGTACAGTTCCACCCAGTCCTCAACCACCAACCTCTGTGCAACAATGGTACAGTTCCACCCGATCCTCAACCACCCCAGGACCTCTGTGCAACAATGGTACAGTTCCACCCGGTCCTCAACCACCCCAAGATCTCTGTGCAACAATGGTACAGTTCCACCCAGTCCTCAATCACCCCAGGACCTCTGTGCAACAATGGTACAGTTCCACCCAGTCCTCAATCACCCCAGGACCTCTGTGAAACAAAGGTACAGTTCCACCCAGTCCTCAACCACCCCAGGACCTCTGTGCAACAATGATACAGTTCCACCCGGTCCTCAACCACCCCAAGATCTCTGTGCAACAATGGTACAGTTCCAGCCGGTCCTCAACCACCCCATGAACCGATCTCAGGGTCCCCATTTTACAAATAAGGACCATCTAAGTGGGTCATGGCTGCACCCAACTTCATTGTCATGAGTTCAGGGGCTCAGCATTTCTGAACCCACTGTGTGAAGACCGGTGTCAAGACAGAAACATGGAGCTCACAGGCTACACAGTGAGGCTGACAGCAGTCCCACAGCCACAGAACAAATGCATCGGGATGGGCCGTGGTGAATGCTGGGAAGGGAGGCTACGGCCCTGGGAAGGAAGGGACGGGGGAGCCTGCTCTGGTGAGGAATTTGGGGGTGGCTGCCATTTAAGCTGAGGTCTGGAGGAGGAGAAGGAATCAACAAGCCACAGGCAAAAGGAGGAGAAAGCTTTCCAGGCTGAGGCGGGAGCAGGTGAAAGGCCCTAGGGTGCAGAGACAATGGTACCTTAGTAGAGCTATAGGATGTCTGGACTGGAAGCCCAGGGGGTGGGCCAGCAGCTGAGACAAGTCTAGGTAGGGGGAAGCGCTGGCCAGATGTGAGGACCCTGGGGCCACAGGTGACAGGCCATAAGGACTGTCACTCCAGGGTATCCATCAGGGAAGTGGCCCAACTACTCCTTTAGAAATGAACTCTGGCAGAGGGGCAGGCAGCAGAGAGGAAGAAGGGAGAGCAGCTGAGAGGCTACTGTTGCCATCCCGGCACGTGAGTGGCAATGATGGTGTGGACCAGGGTGATGATGGAGATGGAGAAACAGCAACAGATGGGGATTTAGGGGTCCGTCAACAGGACGGGAAGTTGGACTGGAGTCTGAAAGAGGATGAGGAGGCTAGACAATGGTTGCACAGCTCGATGGAGAGACC